TCATTTTCTTCCCAATGCAGTCTTTATTAATTTGATCACCCTGCTTGTAAATCTTATATTAAAAATCATGAAACTATACAATACACCCTTAAATATGTAATTAAAGGGAGTTGGTAAATTACATAAAATATTCAGTAGGAAACTGTGGGGTAAAGTTTGCAATTAACAATTACAAGGTGCAAGCAGTGATAGTGCAAGCAGTGATTGTGCGGTTTTAATATTTCATTTTTTTGATGAATTTGCTTTGGCTATGATTTTAGAAATAAGGCCCCATAAACTGTAAAATGAAATATGACAAACCATTATTGTCCTTTTGTTTATCTTTGTTGGTTTTTAGGTTCAGAATGAACATTCAAACCGACTTTGCCCAAACTTTGTGTTGGACCATTTTAATGAGTTTCAGGTGTCAGTAAAGTCTAATATTTTACATGTAACCCTGGAGAACATATCAAGTTTATAATAGATTATGGACCGGTTAAAAAGTTCAATGTCAAACAAAATACTATAAAACACACAAAAAAGTTTGATAGCATCAGAGATAGTATAATTGCAAGAGTAATTTAGGACTTTACCTTTTTTTGAGGAGCACAATTAATTTCTTCTTTTTTGTTAACACATCCACTGTCATCAGGATCTAGAACAAAGTATGCTTTTAATCTTTTAAATATACTTTTAAAATTAAAACTGAAAGTGCTGAAACGATTAAAAATCTAAAATTGAATTTAACATTTTATCGCCTTTTAACCAACATTACCGGCCTATGTTTCCCCTTTAGAGGGAGGTTAAATTACTTAATGCCCCTTGGGACAGTTATGTAAAATACCACCCGCTCTGCAACGTTTTTAGGAAAAAATTTGCACATTATCATCTCAAAAGACAATAAAATTGTGTTCAACCTCTTTTTTGGAAAATTAAAGATGTTACTTAACAACGGTTCCCTCAACCAATTTTGACAACAAAACATCCATTGGTCTTGGGAACCCTAGGTAAAGTAAAATTCCCTTTACTTCCCTGTAAAGTAGTTGTAATTAATTATACTCACCCTGTTTATCCTTGTATGTTAGATCATCAATAACACTCTGTATCATCCTCTTTATTATAGCACATGGGAACCAGAGGTACCATCATGATAATTTAACAAAGATTGGCACTCTGTTCCTCTGGCTAGTCCATAGTTGGTTAAAAGACAACCACTATCAGATTTTATAAAATCCTTTAGTTTATCACTATCATGTTCTACATCATCATATCTGAACAGTTCAATTTCTCTCTTATTAAGCTGTTCTTCAAAAAGAGAGAAATTAAACTTTTTGTTCTCTCTGATACAAATAAATTTGTCTGCTTTCTTCTTTATAGCATCTATGGGTTCCTTGTAATAACTAGGATTATCCATATCCCCCTTAACCACCTCTGGTCTATATCCTAATACTGTTGAAAGTTTACTACTGTCTAAACTAAAGTCACCGACATTATACTTGATATGTTCGCAAATATTTCTTGAGTTTCTCAATATATTCGATAGAAAATATTCTTCAAATTTCTTGTCTATGTTTAATCCGCAAACAAGTTTAGGATCTTTCACTATATGTGGGTGTAAAGATATGATGATCTCTTCAGTTTGTAGTGTGCTGTACTTATCTAACCTCAGGAGTTCTAGTTCTTCTGGAGATAAACACCATTTACCTCTTCTTATTTTAGATACGATACCCTCTCCATATTCATCAACCACCACCAGGCATTGTTTGCTCGCCTTCTCTACAAATATATTTCTAATGTTTAATATGTTTATTTTATCATTTATAACAGTCAAATTAGAATTAGATATATTTTTCATATTTGGAGGGGGGGGGGGGGGAGGCTAAATTCAATAGTTATATGATAAATTACATTTTAAAGTTAGTTAAATATAAATGATATTATAATTGAATATGGGTCAATCCAAGCCAAATCACCACACTTTGTCTTAATGCTTTAAATAACTCTTTTCTTTACTTTTAGTTTTTTTTTCGGATTTTTGACATAAAAACAATGTGATAAAAAAATTCTAAAATATCTTTGGAACATTGAAAAATCCGCGAAACCAAATTTTGTTTGAAAAAACTTTAGAAATGTGATAACTTCAAAAATAAAAATAATTGGCTTACATTTTTTATATATCTTATCAATTTTTGATGAATTTTTATGAAATATTGAAAAACGATAGAATAAACATTTTCCCAACAATTTTTCTGAAAGTTTAATTTTTTCAAACAAAATTTGGTTTCGAGGATTTTTTTATCAAAATTAATTTCGAATATTTTTTATCATATTTTAGTTTTTGTTATGCCTAAAATAATTATAAAATCCCAACATAACCAAATTTTTAAAAATATTGTCCATAACAACAATATTCCGGGGTTTTTTATACTCACCCTGCAAATAGTATGTTTATAAATGCAGATTGACAGATTAAATTTTCTATTTGCGAATCGGAGCAAATCTGCTGTTTGTACATTTTGTTTACATATCACAGTACCAGATATATTCACACTATATCACAGTCATCTTAATTTCATATTTAGTAAAGATTTTTTAGGCTCCAGGGGTCCATATAATTCTATCTGATCAATCCCAAATGTTGATTGATCGATATTAGGTGCAGAAATAAACCATGTTGTTATTGTAAACAATTGGAAGTATAATGTCAAGTTGTAGAAAAAATACTGCAAAGTAGTGTTTATTTTTCTTTATATCATAATTTAAATTGTAAAAACTTTCTTGGAAACATAAAGCTAAAAACAACAACTTAAGAGTATTAAAATGTACAATGTACATGTCTAAGGCTACAAAAATGTGTAAGTGAGTTAATTAAAAGCCAAGGCATTGCAAAACTTCAAAGTCGACCCAGTATTATTTAAAATTTATGCAAATGTTCCTAGCAATCCGTATCTATGACTGATTAGAAGCAAAGTTCAAGTCATTAGATTTAATTTGAGCATATTTTCGTCAAAATATAAATTATACAGATAGTGTGACAGATCAAGCTATTGGCATTAATACCTGCTATGAACCATGGAAGCACAGTGTAGAAATTTTTCGCGCTTAAAGGAACGCCCATCTTCCTACAGATATCCTCAGCCCCCCAGAACTCCACCAAATTCTTTTGGTTGGTCTTAATCTAGAGAAGGAACATATTAAAAATTTTTCAATGCAGTGTGCGTACCCTTGTTAAATAATATTATATAGTTTAAAATTTTTTGGGGGTATACACACATAAAAGTTTGTATTTGGGGGGTATACACACAAATGCACACTAATAGAAAAGAAAAAAACTGAACTACTTAAGTCACATTAAAGGCCTGCATTCATCTTTTAAAGCTGTATTAACCTGGAGAATGGAGGCTTTTTACCTAGCTGGATCCAAATTTTGCTACTGGCAGCTTTAAATATACTCTTTAATAGCAAGCAAAGAGAATTGATTATACATAGAGTGGAATTTACTCAAAAAAGTGTAAAACGGCCATTTTGTTTCCATACTGCAGGTGTACCTTTTTGGCCCTGGAACATCATTTTATAGAAAAGTTTTCTTGAAAATTATTTGGTTTTCTCTAAATCAATTCTCTAATAGCCTGTCATGCATTCCCGAGTTCATTACAGCATAAGCTTCAATAAAAATCAATTTGATGTTTTTATTAAGTAAAAAACATATTTTTTAATTTGATGTAATCAAACAGTAAAAACCAATATTTTTGAAATACTCAAATACCAAAATATTAAAATTGAGGATGAGGAAGGTAAATGGGTATTAACTCTTTAATTTCAATTTCATAACTTGTATACAGTGGGACTCATAGAACTGTGAAATGGAAGGAAAACATTTAACCAATCTGATTTATGTTTGCTAAGTTTTAAGTCTTGTTAGAAAGTAAAACTGCTCTGAGACAGCTAAGGGGCAGGTGGAAAGGGGGAAACAACCCTAAAATATTGTGGGAAGCTTCTATATGTAGAATTTATAGATACTTAAATTATATTTTAAGAATGGATTAAAAACATTTTCCCTGTGGAGCACTTAATAAATAAAAAATTGTTTAGTTAAATAAAGATGACATGCCACTCTATAATGGAGGGTCACTTGAAATTACCCATGTATTCCATTTAAGTATAATATTCATCGTATAGAAAAAAATACTTTAAAATCGCACTTTTTTCCTTAACTAAGAAAGTTTCATGAAATAAAGCTTTAATCAATACTGCCTTCAGTGAAAATATATATTTGATATCATAATTTACAATACAATATATATCAATCCTATGAAAATATAGATAATTTTTTAAAAACATTTCCATCTATATTTTTCATCCCTAGAAGCTTACACCATAGTATTAAGAGGGATTGCCTGATTTTGTGCCCCCCCCCCCTCTTAAGAAAATTACATAAATAATTTATTAAAACGCTTGTAAAATGGAAGTGTGTATAAGATTGAATAGTTTACATAGTTAAAAAAGGTAAAACTGTTTTAAACAATAAAACTGGATTCAACCATAAAACTGGAATACACCATCAAACTGGATTCAACCATCAAACTGGATTCAACCATAAAACTGGTTTACACCATCAAACTGGTTTAAACCATCAATAAAACTGGATTCAACCACAAAACTGGTTTTAACCGTCAAATTGGTTTAAACAATAAAACTGGATTTAACCATAAAACTGGTTTAAACCATCAAACTGAATTCAACCATCAAACTGGTTTTAACCATAAAACTGGATTTAACCATAAAACTGGTTTTAACCTTTAAACTAGTTTTAGCTATGAAATTGGCTTTGAACCATCAAACTGCTTTTAACTATTAAACTGGATTTACCCATGAAACTGGGTTTTAACCATCAAACTGCGTTTAACCATGCAAATTGGGTTTCACCATCAAACTGGTAAGTATGTATATGTATGTATGTATGTATGTATGTATGTAGGTGTATGTATGTATGTATGTATGTATGTATGTATATGTATGTATGTATGTATGTATGTGTATGTGTATGTATGAATGCATGTTATGTAGCAGGCTTGCACCTGGTTTTCAAATTAAGGATTAAATTTCAGGAGAAACCCGAGATTTTCCGTTTTATACACAGACAGACAGACACAAATCACACACATACTTTACTCTCAAAACATGTGCAAATTGCACACATGACGCAAAAAGATCTATTTGCAATTTTTATAAATACATATATGTACATATATATACATATATAAGAAAATAAGTATTGAAAACATAATTTGAAGTTTTATTGTATATATAGATGTACTCCAGGCCTGTAGCTAGGGGGCACAAAGGCACACTTTTTGAGAAAAAATAAAATAAAAAATGAAAAGAATGAAACGAAAAAAGAAAGAAAGAAGGATACAGGGGAGAACATTGGCATAAAATCTAATTTTTTATTATGTGTAAAGGATTAATTTTTCTTCAAATTTAAATTCTGTACAAAATATGGCGAGGTTTAGGAGAAGCTGTTGTACTCGTCCTCAAGCTTGCAGGGGAGTTTTTTCGAAATCAGTTTTGAGAAAACTAACGATTTTCCTGCTTGAACTGTTTGATCTTTAGAGGAATTTACTTTCCCTGTATAAGTAAGTATTGCCTATTCGTGATACAAAAATTGTACTTTTCCTATTTGAAAATTTTCTGCCCCCCCTTTCAAATTCCTAGCTACGGGCCTGATGTACTCACATATATACCAAATATAATTTTCACCCTACTTAGAGTTCAAAATTTAAAAACTTTTTAAAAAGGAGACTTTAATCATTAAGATAAAATAAAAATATCAAACTATATGAGCTTAACGTGTAGGTAACACAAAAATTCTATGAAAATACAAAAAGTGGCACTGAGTGTTGTGAATCTTTGGTATTTGCTTTTCATGTACATTGTACATACTTGTATAATATTAGGAATTGGGATACCGGTTTATCTAGCGCTTGACATAAAATCATTAAAGAGATAGATCGACATATGTAACATGACTGCACTCCTTCTAAAAAACGATTTTTATGCTCTTCGGTGGGAAATTGAGTTTTTGGAATGTGGAACATTTTTAGCGACATTTTGTTGATAT